CCATTTTGATGTTTAATTCCTTCTACATCTATTTAACATCATTGTGAATTTGACTGATGAAGTTCCATACTGAGCAGTTCGTTTATCTGACTATCCCTCTGCATGAATTGTTTATTATAATTTCTGAATGATGAAACATAGCTAAAGGCACCCAGCAGTCTTTCGTGCTTCTGGATTAGGAAATTATGTTTTTGTTCTGTCTACAAAGATTCATAGCATGACAGAAGCATTGTGGCATTACTTCACAACTAATGGGTGCTCAATCACTACAGATCCGAAGTCCGTAGATCCAAAGACAATGCTGGACTAGTTTATAACCAAAATTGGCTTTTTGATTCAAAAATGTTTGCTCTTGGAGCACGTATATCCATCCCAATGCTTATTCTTTATAACTGTGTTTTCCCTGCGATTGTTCTGGTGCCAACAGGGTAAACAGACAGACGGCTGGGTGGCTCGGGGTGTAATCCTCTCTTTATTTGAGCAGGTAAAGAGGTTGCGGAGGTGCCAGCTGTTCTGTTCTCTCTCGTACAAAAATGGCAGTGGGCGGCTTGGCACTGTGACATGGCAACAGTTTCTATGGCAGGCGTGTGATATTTGTGGACCATATCGCAAAAGCGGGAGAACTGTAGCAATCTCCACCACTTAGACTAACCCACTTGCTTTCTCTCTCTCTCTCTCTCTCTCTTTCTCTCTGCTTCTGTCCCTCTCTTTCAATTGCTATCTTTCCTTGTTTCCCTTTTTCTCTATTAATCTTCTCTTAATCTCTCTCAGAGTCTCTCTCTCTCAGTCTCTCTCTTTCTATCCCTCCCTCACCCTTAGCATGGTTGGGTAGAGGAAATGAAAGGTCCCCGGAGCTGGTGGCAGCTATAATGAGAAATGAGACTCACTCTTCCAATCTCTCACTGTGCTGCTTAATGGCCTCATACTGTAGCTAAAGCAAATGGTGAGCTCTGAGACCAGACATAACCTCATCCACAGTCCATAATACTGAGTGAGAGACCGATTCTTGTTAAATGTCTAAAATAAAAACTTAGTAAATTTTCTAAGAGTGATTTACATCAGAATTCCATCAAAAAATATCAGTGACAGGCATTCCGTAGTCTTTCATACATCTCAAACTGCTAGTAAATACTGAATAGGACTCAGTTTAGTTAAGATATAATACGTTAAACAATGCAATGCTTTTTTAATATTGCTCATAAAGACTTTTTCAAATTTTAAAGTCTACATTCTGCCACTATGCCCTCTATGTCAAAACAATATCACATGATCACATGTTCATATAAACAGAGCAGAGCCAACCATAGTTTAAGAGGAGTGAGAACTGGCTCAGCTCTGTGGTGAAGGGTGTTGTGGCTAGACACAAGTGCTGTCCTATGCCTGTCTGAACTAAGATAGATTCACCCTGTTTCCTGGGTGACAGCAGTGCCAGGGTGTGTGTCCTCATACACATGTTTGCATATTTAGTGACAACCAAGTAAAATTAAGGTAAAAATGAATTATGCCAATAAAGTAGATTGCATCTGAATCATTACAGCTGCAATACTAGCAGTGTCAATTATGTAAGAATACTGCAACGTATACCACAGATTTTTCTCGAGAGAGAGAGAGAGAGAGAGAGAGAGAGAGAGAGAGAGAGAGAGAGAGAGAGATCTGAATAATTGACCAAAGTACTCTGTACAATTTGCTAATTGCCAGGGGAGCCTAACTGGGTCTCCTTGTGGATTTGTCTGTGGCATCCCCCACCACATGGATCAGCTGTGTAGCTGTAGTTTATTAGAAAGGTGTCGTCAGTGCTAATTTATGCTGATTCATCTGACAGCCTCGGTGCTGACATAGAGGGGTTCTGGCCTAGGGGTAACCTCTGCTCAAAGAATGAAAATGTTTTCTAGATTGGCTTTTTTTTATTTAAATTTTATTAATAATAATACAACTCAGATATATACAGTACTGTGCAAAAGAAATGCTGTAGAGCAAAGATGCCTTCAGAAATAAGGACATAAATGTTTCTACAAAAAACATTAAAAAATACTATAAAGAGCAGTAAACAGTAATAAATGAAACAAAGTCAATATTTGGTGTGACAACCCTTTGCTTTAAAAAAATAAGTCTCAGGTACAATTTGTGCAGTTTTAGCTGCATAGCTGTTTTATAAGGAAATGAAACTCCAGCAGTCTTCATTACATTTTTTTTTGTCTGAAAAGTGTCTCTTATGTAATATGCTGCTTTCATTACTGACATACAAACATTTTTCTGTAACAATTAATTTTGTACTGGAAAACTAATTTTTGGAAATCTAAAATGTTTTCCGACTTGATAATGTAGAAGTCATTAAAATAAAAATCTATAACAAAGTTTGGACTAAAAATAAATAGGGTGCCTAAGACTTTTTACACAGTACTGTATATATTTTTTACTTTGCCACTAATAGTCTCTGCACAGCGTTGGTTTCCCCATAGCGAGAATTCCACTTCTTCTATGTGAATCAGCCTTTCTGATATGCAAATATAAAGCCACAAAGATTGCACACAAGAACAAGCTATTAAAAAGGATCAGAAAAGCGATAACCAAAAATATAAAACAGCACACTGCAGAAGGAGCACCTAATCTTCTCCTCTACCCGCATGACATCCTCACGCCCACTCATGTGCATACTCACCAGTCCAATAATCTTGGTTTTTTATTTATTTCAATGTGCAGATATTTATTAATATATTTTCACATGCACTCTAGTTAGATTAGGTCTAATATGGCCCCTTCAGTAACCCTGGGCTTTATTTGCACCATGTAAATCTCATCAGCCATTCAGGGCCATTCCTAATATGCTTAGACAGCTGAGAGTCATGTATTATTCATGAGCTCAGAAAATTCTTCATATAACCAGATCCCCATTCTGGATGAAGTAATATGTGTTGTGGCGACATCCAGGGATCATCTATATTCTGAAAATAATGAGATGGCTTGTATACTTTGCAAAATGTAATGATTATGTTATGATTACAGAAACATCAAACCTTCCCCATTCCATTTATTATTCAATAGATTTGAAGGTGTTTCATTGCTAATAATAAATTACCATCATAGACTATATAGTCAGATTTCTTGTTCCAGCTTTTCTCATTATTCAGCTATTGTTTACATGGTAAGTGTGATAGAACAAAAAACAGTCAGTGGACTGTACTTGATGATGAATGATTCACAACTGCAGCGATAGGCTGTTTTTTTGGCCATTTGATTGTGGAGTACTAATTATAAATTGTTTTGAAACATGCTTAATATTATGTTGCAGATAATTAATGTGAGACATTCTGCAATCACCAATCATCATCCTGCATTCATGAAGTATAAATAAAATAGTAAAGAAATCTTTTTTGTTGTTGGGTCTTTTTCTAAGAATGGATTGTGTTCAATTTTAAAATTTTATAAAATAAACTGGGTAAGGTTAGGCCACTGACAAAAATTTGAGTCAGTCTTCTGTGCCACTGTTATGAGTCACTTTGCACAGAAAAGGCTGTGCATGTTATTCTGTGGGTTCTTTGGTGATCTTTGGCTTGCTGATGTCCTGGTGGAAAAAGAGGGTGTTAGGCATATTCACAAAAGAGTAGTGAGGAAGAGGAAGTTGCATGCTGGTCAGGGATGAGTCTTTACTGATGAGTGGAATGCATTGGTCTCAGATGGCACGCTAATTGTTTGATTATACAGGTCTCCTCATTAATGAAGCTCCTCTCCTGCGTTTGGGAACATGGCGCGCCACTGAATTACCCACACGACTCTCATGCTGGGAAAGCTGATCACTCATTAGTGGTGACTGAGCGACATAAACAAGCCAAGAGTACAGTAACTAGACAAACACATGCACACACATACACGCTCATATTGCTTTCTTTATTCCGTGCATCTACTGGACTGTGTGTAACTGTTTTAAATTAAATCGCATTTTGTGTCAAAGGCATTTTACTTGAAATGGACCAAAACATAAACTTGAATATTTGATGACACATACACTGAGCCAATATGCACGTATTTCACCTATATACTTACAAATGCCCCCCTCCCACACACACACACACGCATACACACAAACACAGATTCACTCTGTACTATGTGTGTCAGTTCACCTACGCACAAAATGATAATTATTAAGAATATATTTTCCCCAAAAAAATATTATAGGTGGGTCTGAGGCCTTGGATGAATGCTTGGTTGTCTCTTGATTTCATTTGCTGACTTCTTTGTGATGCAGAACGAGAGTAGACTCGGTCTCTGCGAATGAGTGTGGAAGAAAACACAAGCAGCCTGGGGAGTAAGAAAGACAAAGAGCGAGAGAGGAGTGTCAGGGGGAAAGAGAGAGAGGGAGAGATACGGGAGAGTGAGAAAGAGATAATAACAGGACATGACTGTTGCAATGAGACAAAAGTTAATGAGGGCTGAAGACTGCGGCAGCAGCCGTCTTTTCTTTGTGTGGCACACGCCACTCCCTTTGAGCCTCCTGGCCCTTTATTAACACCATAATACAGTGGGGGGCTTCAAGTGTTCAGCTGCAGAGAGAGAGAGAGAGAGAGAGAGAGAGAGAGAGATTTGTAATTTGACAAACCAGAAAGGAAGATCAACCCAAAAACAAAGAAGACTGCCTATTACATTCATAGCTGTGCAGTCCCATTTACCACATTGACAGTCTGCTGACTTATACATTCTGATGCCATATTCCTAACAGGCCATACATATATTGTTGTGGTGTTTTTGAGCTTACTGCCAATGTACCCTCTTCTTGAGGCATTTCCCTTTAGCTCATATACTGTGTATGGCAGAAAAACTTCTATGCCTTACATTTCTGATCCATTCATGGCCATTATTAAAACCCCTTAACATGTCAGCTTAATATTTGTCCTACTATTCAGTATACTATTCAGTAATTGCTATAAATTATTCAGTAACTACATTGAAACTAACATAAAAAAGTATGTATAGTTACAAGATCAGGTCACTTAAAGCCATACGGGGCGGTCGTGGCCTAAAGGTTAGCGAGTTGGGCTTGTAACCTGAAGGTTGTGGGTTCAAGTCTCAGTTCCAGCAGGGAGGTGGGTGGAGTGAATGACCAGTGCTCTCTTCCACCCTCAATACCACAACTGAGGTGAGAGCCTTGAGCGAGGCACCAAACCCCCAGGTGCTGCAGCAGGTGTGTGTGTGTGCGCACTTGGATGGGTTAAACACAGCACACAAATTCTGAGTATGGGCCACCATACTTGGCTACATGCCACTTCACTTCATATAAAATACACTTCTATGCCATCATTTTCTCCTTACATGATTTTCCCTTAATGGAGTGATAGCCTACAACGAGGCAAAAATAAATTGCTATATAAACTCAAATGATTCACAGCAGTCATTCTCCATTAACTATTTACAGAACCTTCTCTAGTGAAGCATCAAATGGCAAAACTAAACAGTGAGGACACTTTGCTTAGTTTAGCCTCTCTATCTTAGTCTTTATATGGATGAGTTGTGTATTTGTTCCAGATGCAGTGTGGTAATTTTGAGTGTTGTTTTTTTGTAATAAGCAAGCCTTTTAGGCCTCCTGATGGCTGAATTACCTTCTCATATGGCCCCCCTCAGGTGTGCAGTCCCGCTGTGCTGGGCAGAGACAGGTGTCCGAGAGGCCTCATACACGGTAATTAAAAGGCCATAATCACAATTACCCTTGTCTCATCTCTCTCTTTTTTAAGGGTCTATCGCTTTCTCTCTGTGTGTGTGTGTGTGTGTGTGTGTGTGTGTGTGTGTGTGTGTGATATTGGGTCATTACACACACAGACAGACCCACACACACACCAGCTTGGGAATAACACAGAGACACCCGACAGATGCATGCTGGGAGCTTCATTACCCCTCAGACAAAAGGCAAGAGACAGTTAGCAGGAAGCTCATGAGTGTGTCCTGCGGAGGATATTAACAGCGACTGTGTTAGGGGCTTGAAGGTTTGAGTGGGGGAGAGAAAGATAATAGTGCCTGTGGTGTGGGCAGATTTCCTTCTAAATCATAGTGTCATGCAGATAATTGTTCTGATTAATCATCTTGTAGAATTTTAAACAAAATGTAAAAATAAGTTAAGAATAATGTAGGAAGTGAACATTTTTACAACCTTGCCCACCTGTCATAGGTGCATGTTGCCGACCTCTCAGTCCTGGTATAAAAAAATGTGGCAAATGGGAGTACTTTGCAGTTGGAGAGCTAGCAAAATGTCTTACAAGCTAGGTATTTTTGTGGGCAGTGGAAAGAATATAGAAAAACAATTACGACACAATTTCACAGTCACTCTCATTAATTAATAGAGTTCCCAAAAACTAACTGCATGAATGTAGCCTAGGTTAGATGAAAAACTAGGACTAAACAGCCTAGCTATGCTAGATACACTATATGGACACCTGACCATAACAACCATATGTGCATTTTAAACATCCCATTTCAGATTTAAGTCTCTCTTTGCTGTTATAATAACCTCCACTCTTCTGGGAAGAAAATTGAGCATTGTTGTGTTAGAACATGTTTAGGCCCCTTAGTTCAAGTGAAGGCATACTGTAATGCTAAAGCATAAAAAAGACTTCCTTAAACACCTGTGTGCTTCCAACTTTATGGCAAGAGTTTGGGGAAGACCGACATATGGGTGTGATGGTCAGGTGTCCACAAACCTTTGGCTACTGTATATAGTGTATCATTAACAAACTACCAATAGCTAGGCTGCACTAGTCCGTTTTTCCTTTTATTGAAGGGTACAGCACAGTAGTTATGTGGTTAAGTGGACATTGTCTTACATTGTAACAGGTACTTAGCTTACCTTGGTTTTAAGTAACCTGATCATTCACAAACAACCCATAGGAAAATGTGGCTTTCTCTGCTTACAGTAATGTTATGTTACATGAGAAAAGTCATTGTACACTGTTGCTTTCTCATCTTTTGTGAACGATGACAAAATGATAGGATAAATGTAAATTGCGCAAGATACAGGTTTTTTTTTTATTAAGGGTCACCTTGGTAATTTTAGTAATAAATAAACATATCATTTTACAGTTCTTCTTTGTATATTAAAAAGGAGAGTGAAAAGGTCTCTCAACTGATAAAGATATTGGCTTCTGTTTCAGCAGTATGACAAAAACTTTACTCTGTGCGTCATATTTAAATGATCAGAGTAGGCCTGTGATCTGTGATATGTTAATTCTGAAGAGATGGAAATTTACTTAACACACCTGAGTTAGTTACTTTAAATTAATGAATTACCAAGCTCATTAGATACTGAATCCTGTTCTCTTTCTCTGTCTCTCTCTTTTTTTCTCTCTTATTTTCATAGCCCACAAACGTCACGATGAAAGTGTTAAAAAAAAGAGTATATAAGATCTTAGGCAGAAATAAAGTTTTTTTTAGTGTTATTTAGGATGTTACTGAATGCAGATCTAAATAACTGCACATGTTAGTTTTGTAAGTATGGATTGACTGATGGCCTGGGGAAAGTGTAATATCTTACAAGCAAATATACACTACAAAGCAAAATTAGAATGACCTTTCTGTCACTATTTCTCATAATTAAATCTGTAAGTCCTGTAATCATCCATTTGTGAATTCCATATGAGCTTCTAGACATTTGTAATATAAAAAAAGCACTGAAGCCACACGTAGTATATATATATATATATATAAAAAAAAGCATTTCCATATAATTAGTTCGCTCATATGGAAGTTCATTGGATTGACATCTTTAATTAGATTGATTTTCTAAAAATGTCACATTTATGTGTCTTTAAAATGTTTATTAATATTTATATATTTAAGCATTCATATTCTTTATGTTTGGAGTGCTTCCTTGGCATGTTGTCGGTCAGAACCAAACCAAAATATACTGTTTACACAAAGGAGATAATGTGAACAAGAAGTCACAGACAGTATTGCAGCTCAGACAGTATAGCAGCTCAATCCCATAATGCAATGCAATGTAATGTTGAATCCCAAGCCCTATTAAGAAGTGAAAACACAGGTGTGATTCAGGTGGATAATATAACTGCCTCAAACAGTGGAAGGGACCCACACAATTAAACACCTGTGTACCTCAGGGACCATCATTGCACATTTGTAGGAATTCACACAAGTATGAAAAGATATGAATGGATAAACTAATAGTAAGGGATAAGGTTAGCATTTAAAAAAATTAATCCTTATTCATATGAATTCTAACAAAAATAATATTAGTCATTAGCTGTTTTTTCTGTGGTTAGTGTGATGACTGGTTACAGTTACAACTCTTGAACCATAATGTAACGCATAAAGACATACAATTTGGTAAGAATGGTTCATTTATTTCATTGTGCTGTTCATTTCTCAATTTTGATGTGTCAGAAGATGTTGATTCATTTTCTATAACAGTGCAACATTGACAGTAGTGCCAGCTGCAAGACAAATACATGCCATATATATTAATGCACTTCTTCTGATGCTATTCACAGGGACTTGTGCGGCAGACAATCCACATTGCTGAATGAAGCCTAATAATAAACAGATATTTTTTTATTTAACAAAGAAAAAATATATAATTATATTTTAATTATAATATATTTCACAAGAAGCTTTGATCAAGATTTATGCAAAGGAATTGTTTATTTTACATTTGTGGAAGTAGACTACAGTGTAAAAGCTTTGTAAAAAGACAAATGTGATGTTGTTCATAAGCTTCCTGGTTTTCAAGAAGGAGAAGAAAAAGAGAGACGTGAACATTTGGGAGAGATCAACAGTTTATAGCTGCTATAATTGCAGGGATTAATTTGTTTTGTGGATGTTTCACAACATTAGGCCTATATGTAACTATAAATGCAAAATAAAATATTATATGTTGTTTTTAAAAAAAGAAAAATGTGTAGTCATTGGCAAGTAGCCATGGTACAAGACAAATGTAACACTCTGGGGCAGGGAAAATAAGAATATAATCAACTCCGGGGTAACAGCCCCTTGTGTGAGTCTGCACTATTATGGACTATTTCCCTCTAGGCCCAACTGCACACCGTTTTGTTCTTTATTATTTACTTGAATTCTCTGCACACTCATTCTTAGACACTTAGAAGAACTGACACATATTCTTTATGAGCTCAGCCACCATTAATGATGTATTTCGGGACTTCTGTTATCTCAGTATGAATTATGTTATCTCAGTATTCAGTATGTGACCTTTATTTTGCTGTGTAGTCCTGCTCCATTATTTGCACTGGAGTTCTATTCAGGTGACAATTGTTCAGAGAGCTTTCTGTCTCCAGCTGCAGCATTGTCTTCTGCTGTTTGCATAATTGAGATGTGTTTATGTGTTAGGCTGATTGGATGAATTCATTTTACAAGGGCCACTTTCCATTAAGTGATCTGAAACTCTTTAACCCACAAATAGCACACACTCTTGGAAGGATTAGTTTGTTAACCAATATGTGGTATTATTGCTGTTGCTCAACACTTCTCACAGCTCTCCTCACTTTCTCTCAAGCGCATGGGTTTTTGCTTGTGTGATATTCAACAGCTTCCCCGTTCTGCTCTGGTCTGCTGCCCCTGTGCTTGGCTAATGCAACCCAGCATTAGCATAGCGTTTGATGTTGAGTTTGAAGATGTTTAGGTGCTCTGGGTTTAACAACTGTGTTGAATGTTTGTGCCCTCTATTTACTTCAGGAACGACATCCAACAATACACAGTTGCCGCAACACTTATGGCTGGCAATCCAGAGAACACAACTCCTCAGCAGTGTTCAGCAGGTTAGCTTTACAATGTCATAAACTAGACACAGATAAATGTCAGAGCTGTGATTTGTTACTTTACAGTGTTTGAAAGAGGAAAATGAGCTCTGACAAGAAATGCTCAACTCTCTTCTCATTGTAAGCAAAAGAGAAGCACAAAAAAACCGAATGTGAAATTTATTCTTATACTTTATTTGTTTATCGGTTTTGCTCACTGCTTCTTTTTCTCCTTTCCCTCTCAGGGGCAGATAAAAGAGCCATCGCGTACATGGACAAGCCAGACCTGATGAATATAGAAGCAGAGAAGGAGGAAAGGGGAGGAGA